AGGAGCAGTGACACCCTAATAGCAAGGAACACAGTTAGTACCCAGAACTTGGTTTCTAAACACTTACACTCTGTACTGAAAGGAATCAGAGCTCCTTGGAGAAATGGCTGATTCTATGGCTGAAGCAGGGAAGGTATAAGATGAGCCTGGGACATCTTGTTGTGCCAGAAAGTACCAGAATGCTAAGAATCTGACAGGACCACATGTCAAGGACATAGGGGCCAACTTGAAGAGGCTCCCACTGGCCAAATAAAGGTAAATTTGAGCACCAAAATAAGGATAGTAATGAATTAGAAAACATTGAAAAAAGTAGAAATCTATGAGTCCATGCCGATAAATAAGTAAGTGGGGAGAAAGGGAAAGCTCTTGTTTATAGGACCATGCTGAGTGTTGACTGGTAAATGTGGAAGGAACCCCAGAGTTGGAAAATCATTATTTTGCAACCATCATACTAAAGACTGATTCAGGCAAAAATGACTCTCAGATGCTAAAGGGGAAAATGTTGATGATGAGAAAGATACTTCCGTGGTCTCAAAGTGTTTCCCCTAAGACTGCTTACTAGTTACAAAGGTGAAAATGGTAACTATAGGTAACTATAGGGTGCAGAGACTAGACAACACCTTCCTTCACCAAGTGATCAAAATCCACATGAGCGATGAGGGGCAAATGGCCATCATGTGCCTCCAAATGTAATACGCTGAGAACACAACATCATGTATGTGGTTTGCCATCCAGGAAAGCATAACTGGGACTTGACCATGAGGAAGCATCAGACAAACTCAAAATAAGGAACATTCTTTTTTTTTTTTTTTAAGGAAGAGAGATTGTTATTATTAAAGGTAAAAATGTCCATGTCATTAAATACAAAGAAAGGCTGTGGAAATGTTCCAGATGAAAAGCAACTAAAGAGACCGTGACAACTAGATTCAGTACCTGACCCCAGACTGGATCCTGTACTGGAAGGGCAAAGTGATATAAAGTATATTATTGTATCATTTAATGGAATTGGAATACAAATGGCAGATCAGTATCAATGTTAAATTTATGGAAGTTGGTAAGTGTACAGTTGACTCTTGAACAATCTCAGGGTAAGAGCATCAACCCCCCCCACAGTAAAAAATCCACCTGTATTTTGA